AAAGTGGTAATCATTATTTGTTGAACATAATAAATGTGTCTACTAAATTTCCAGAGGCCATTCCATTTAGCAGTATGATGGCTAAAAGAATTGTAGAAGAGTTACTCAACACAGACTACCCACAGAGAGGTAATCAGATCAAGGGTCAAATTTTACATTGAAATTATTTAAGGATGTTATGGATACGTTAGGAGTAAAACAATTCAAATCCACTGTGTACCATCCAGAATTGCAAGGAGCATTAGAACAGTGGCATCAAACCTTAAAGACCATGTTGAGGGTTTATAGTCAAGACTGTCCAGAGGAGTGGGATGAAGGAATTCCATTTGTACTTTTTGCAATTAGGGATGCAACTAATGAATCAACTAAATTCCATTCAACTTAGTTTTTGGACATGAAGTGAGAGGACCACTGAAATTAATTAAGGAGAAATTGGTGAGTCAGAGTTCAGACATCACATATTTGAACAATGTGTCAAATTTTAGGCAAAGATTAAATAGAGTGGGTGAGTTGGCTAGTAGGTAGCATTTGAAAGTAGCACAGCATGTGATGAACAGGAAGCAGACAAGAGATCAAAAATTTGTAATTTTGCTAGTGGAGATAAAGTGTTTGTATTACTCCCAGTGGTAAGTGAAACTTTAAGAGCAAGGTTTAGTGGGTCCAAATCAAAAGGAAATTGAGTGAGGTGAATTATTTGATAAGAATGTCACATAAAAAGAAATCTCAGACCGTTCATGTGAATATGCTCAAAAGGTACTTTGATAGGGAAAGAAAGCAAAAGGACAATGCATTATTAGTTCAATACAGAGTTCAGATGATTCTGAATTGGACATTCATCAAATTAAATTGACAATGAGGAAGTTCTCAAAAATTGGGATAAATTATTGAGTTACCTTCCAGAGGAAAATCAAAATGACCTGAAAGAATTATTACAGTCAGATGGCAAGACCTGTGGGAATAAGCTGAGAAGTACTAATCTGATTATACATGATATAGATATAGGAAATGCTGTTCCAATTAAGCAACATCTTTACTGACTTAACCCTCTAAAAGGGTTTAAAAAGGCACAGGTTTAAAAAGAGTTTGAACGCATGCTGAAAGACAATATGATTGAAGTGAGTTCCAGAGAATGGAGCTCACCCATGTAATGGTGCCAAAACCAGATGGTACCCAATGATAACAAAAACAGAAGTTGCTGGAAAAGTTCAGGTCTGACAGCATATGTGGAGATAAATCAGAGTTAACATTTCGGGTCTGGTGACCCTTCTGAGAACCGGTCACTGGACCTGAATCGTTAACTCCGATTTCTCTCCACAGATGCTGCCAGACCTGCTGAGCTTTTCCAGCAACTTCTGTTTCTGTTTCTAATTTAAAAATCATTTAAACTGCATCTGCAATTCTTTCAGTTTTTATTTGGTACCCAATGATTATGTGTGGACTATCACAAAGTCAATGCAGTTACAAAATCTGATTCATACCCGATTCCACATTTGGAAGATTGTTTTGAGGAGGTGGGACAAGCAATTAATATTTCAAAGTCGGACTTACTGAGAGGATACTGGCAGGTACCTTTATCAGAAAGAGTGAAGGAAATTTCAGATTTCATGATGCCGAATGGACTGTATCAGTTTAAAAGTCATGCCATTTGGTATGAAAAACTCACCAGCCACATTTCAAAGACTAACCAATAAAGTTGTTTCGGGATTACCCAATTATGTGGTGTACACTGACGATCTGGTGATTTTTAGCCACACATGGAAGGAACACTTGGAGCACCTATTGGAATTGTTCAATCAACTTCAGGAGGTGGGCTTGGTGATAAACCAGGCCAAGAGTGAGTTCACAGAAGCTCAAGTCACGTTCCTGGGCCATATTATTGGACATTGACAAATGGTCCCCTGAGATGTGCAAACAAAGGTCATTGGGGAGCTTCCCGTACTATTAATGAAGAGGGAAGTACTATGATTTCTGGGAATGCATGGTTTTTTAAATCAGAAGTTCGTACAGAATTTTCGCAGTGTGGTTGCTCCAATGACTGAGTTGTTGAAGAAGTGTAGAAAATGTCAGTGGATGGAGGACTGTCAGAAAGCATTTGACAGTCTGAAAGTTGTGTTAACCACTGCCCCAGTGCTAGTCATGACTAATCAGGCAAAATTATTCACGGTGCAAGTGATGTGGGTGTTGGCGTTGTACTCTTGCAAGAAGATAGAAAGACCTATTGAGTATTTTTCCAGAAAATTGAATAATCATCAACAGAAATATTCCACAATTGAGAAAGAGACCTTGATAGTTGGTGTTGTAACATTTCAACAATTATGTTGCTAGTAATGTGTTTGAGACAATTGTATATACTGATCATAACCCCTTAAAGGTTTTAGAAAATTTTAAGGATAAAAATTCCAGACTGTTTAGATGGAGCTTATTATTGCAGCCATTCAATTTGAAAATTGTACACGTGGCAGGATGAGAGAACGGAATTGCTGACACGTTGTCGTGACTTTGATGAAGGAAGACGGGGACGTTCGGTGGCAAGAAAAATCGGACTGAAATGGACTGTAGTAGTGAATGCTTGCATGCTTAGACCCAATGTAAGGTATGTGTATTGTGGTGTATTAATAAAGTAAGGCTCAAGGTTTTTAAAAATGAAACCATCCTTGAATATTGATGGTTCCTTTTTTAAAGGAAGGAGATGTGATGATACCATGGCTTTAAGATGTATACTTTGGCCTGGTTTTTATTTGGAAGAAAGGTTGAGACAGAGGTGCCGAGCAATCCGCTCAAATCCAGTAATGTAAGTGGCCTGTGAGGCCTTGGTCTTTTTTTAAAGTTCGAATAATAGAAGTAGCCTGAATGGATGGGGTCAAACTCCCACAGAGCCAGGATTTTTAGTTTTAGCTTTCAGCAGTGGCTGGGGTCTTGAAGCTGGATGTGGAAGCTCTTATTCCTCTCTCCATTACAGCTATAAGCTGGGCTTCTCTTCCTGCTACTAGAATTGCATGTGGGGCAGTCTATTTTACTGAAGTTATCTCTGCCAAAGCTGTGTTTATGTGATGTTGCTTTATTGGAATAGTTAATTAGTAGCAGTAAGTATATTATTATTTTGTTAAGCATTTTGATAAAGTTACAGTTAAACCAATTCGCCATAGAGTTTTATAGCATGGAAACAGATTCTTTGGTCCAACTTATCCATGCCAGCTAGATATCCTAAGTTAGCCTAGTCCCATTTGCCCACATTTGGCCCATATGCCTCTAAATCCTTCCTATTCATGCATCCTTCAAATGCCTTTTAAATGTTGCAATTGCAACAGCCTCCACCATTTCCTCTGGCAGCTCATTCCATACATGCACCACCCTCTGCGTGAAAAAGTTGCCCCTTACTTCCCTTTTATATCTTTCCCCTCTTACTTGAAACCTATGGCCTCTAGTTTTGGACTACCCTACCCTGTAAAAAGGCGATTGTTTTATTTTATTTTTATTTTGCCTATATTTAACTGCAGTGTAAAAATAAAGTGCGTTTTGCGTAAAGTTGAGTAGTATGACCCATCAAATTGCATCTCGAACGCAAGACTTACACTTACCTGTAAAGTAAGAAAACATTTGGTTCTAAGCTATCTTCTTATTTTGAGGGGGTTTGGTCTGGTCTATAACCTATGAAGCAGCTGTACATCCAGTAACGTGGAATGAAAAGGTAAATGACAGTGACTAGCTATCAGTAACAGTGCAGTGGCATTAACTAGATGCATAATAAAGATAATATATTCTACTGTGGGCAGAACTGGTACTTCAGTTCATCGTCCTTGAAGGACAACTTAGTTGAGCAGACGTACCTTATTTTTCTGTTCATTAAATTGTTGTTTGGCACATAGTGGTAAGTCTAGTCCAGAGCAGTGGCTACATACATAGATATGTAAATATTCATAACCAGTTAGCGGGTTTTCTGACATAATGCTAGCACATAATTCACTAAGTGTCTTCTGCAGCTGCAGGTAAATGTTGACTTCTGAGAGCGCTCTTTAAAATAATTACAGGCATTGAACGTTTTCTTGAATAACTTTTAATTTTAAGACACTTTCTCATATTTCATGAATGTCTTGCTAAGAACCACTGAAAACAAGGAATAAATATATGAAGGTTTCATTGAAAAATATTCCATTGCCTAAAGATCTACATTTGCCTATCCTCTTATGACAGTAATAGTTCTTGCAGTTTATTTTGTTAAGTTGTCTTCTTGTAAAATGTGGCCTTCTGTTGTCAAAGATTTAATGGGTTGAGTTCACGTCAATAACTTTTAACAAATATGACACAGTCTTTGTTTCTCTAGTAGGGTAGGAAATAATTTAGTTAAATCATGCAAAGTTTAAAAGCTACTGTAGCCAAATTACTGCTTAAGGGTACTTTGCTCTTCAGATTTCTAAAGAGGCTAAAGATATGGTCATTGATTTAAGACATTATATAGAGTAGCGTTAAATCCATACTGTCTTGATGCTGTATAAAGATAATAAATCTGGTCAGTCCCAGACCACATTTGAGTAACAGAGGGCCAGTTTGTCCTGTCAGCTACTGATTTGAGCCTGAAAGGTTACAGATTAGTTTAGTGATGTCAAGTGAACTGGCAAAGGCTTCTCTAATTTTGCTGGAAATGAGGAACCTGATGGTAAAGGGGAATCCTAATGAGTCCATCAAAGGCTTGATTTGTACCCAACAGACAAGGCAGCTGTGAATTGTATGAAAATATTGGAAATCAATAGCTTCTATGGAATTTCATTAAGCAGCAGTATCCACAATTGATAGGGCCTCATAATTTGATGGATTGTGCAAAGAAAATGATTAGCTAGGTAGAAAGAGTGATAGAATACACACAGAAGGACCTGAGATGTGTTGAAGTGAGGTAATTTGTACAAAATAAAAAAATATTGATTTTACTTATGTGCAAAAACTTGAAATTGGAGGGAGGGATGGTCTTGCAAGTCATTGCTTGATGTGTCCTTTTGATTTCCTAGCGGCCCCAGGGGAAGGAGCAGATGATGCTGATAGTGGGAACGAAAGCAGAAGTGGAAGTGAGGAAACCCACATCTGTGAGAAATGCTGTGCAGAATTCTTCAAGTGGTCTGACTTCATGGAGCATCAGAAGAATTGCACTAAGAATCCACTAGTCTTAATCGTAAACGACGAGGACGCAGCACGTTCAGAAGACTTCCCTGAGCCTTCTCCTGCTAGTACCCCAAGTGATCAAGGAGAAAGTGAAGCTGCTGAGGAGAGCACTCATTTGGAGGGAAATGACAGCTCCGAGGTAAAGAGTACAGAACAAGACGAGCCGATGGAGGTGGATGCTTCCACTGACAAGGGTTACCAGAATCAAGGGACCTCAAGTACTGCTACGTCACTACCTCAGATTCCTGAATCATCTTCCATGACAAATTATAACATGCCAAACACTAATGTGACTTTAGAGACTTTACAAAGTACGAAAGTGGCGGTAGCACAGTTTTCGCAAGATACCCGATCTAACAGTCCTAGTTCAAATAGTGGAGTATCCACCATTGCAATCCCCATGATTCTAGAGCAGTTGATGGCTCTGCAACAGCAGCAACTCCACCAGCTTCAACTGATCGAACAAATCCGAAACCAAGTGGCAATGATGAATCCACAAACTTTGCACCCTTTAAATCCATCAGCATCTTCCCAAGGTACATCTGTATCTGCTGCTAGTCAGCATGTTTCATTCACTGATCATTCTTCTAACCAGTTATCAGCTGTTATTTCAGCTTCGGGACCAGGACAGGCATCCAGTATCCACCCTTCTGCCTTTGAGAGTTCACAGCAAATAGCACAGCCTGCCTCTGGAGCTAGCACTCCTGTTTTGCCCAGCAGTGTATCTCCCAGATCAGAATCCACCATGCCTCCATCCACTACCGGAGTTTCATCTTCACTGACTCCAATTTCCAGTTCAAATACAAGTAACACTTCCTCACAATTACAGTATTCAACATCATCACTTGGCCATGGTAATCTTCTCAGCCCAGCTTCCAGCATGCCTAATCCACTGCTACCTCAGAACACATCAAGTAGTGTGATCTTCCAAAACCCACTGGTCAGCATTGCTGCAACTACTAATGCTCTAGATCCACTGGCTGCCCTTATGAAACATCGCAAAGGAAAACCACCCAACGTTTCTGTGTTTGATCCCAAAACAAGCTCAGAAGATCCATTTTTCAAGCATAAGTGTAGGTTTTGTGCTAAGGTCTTTGGAAGTGACAGTGCATTACAGATTCACCTCCGTTCTCATACAGGAGAGAGACCGTTTAAGTGTAATATTTGTGGAAATCGGTTTTCCACTAAAGGTAATCTTAAAGTTCACTTTCAGAGGCATAAAGAAAAATACCCTCACATCCAGATGAATCCATATCCAGTCCCTGAATACCTTGATAATGTCCCAACTAGCACAGGCATTCCTTATGGAATGTCCTTACCACCAGAAAAACCAGTGACAACATGGTTGGACACCAAACCTGTATTGTCGACATTACCAACTTCAGTTGGATTACAGTTGCCTCCAACTCTATCAAACATTACCAGTCTAGCTGAGTCCCCAGCTGTGACTCCTTTGAACAGATCACCTCAAAGACCATCTCCTCCATCAAGTGAATGTGCGTCTTTGTCACCAAACATAAACAAGAATGAGTCCAACATTCCAATAACTGCAGAATCTCCGCAGTCAATTAATGGCGGCAATTTGGTTCCCATTGTTCAAGGTTTAAATGCACCTACATCGAATTTCAAACCAGCAGAGGGCTGCCCGAGTGGACAGTCAGTTTCCTCTGCTCCTTGCTCTACCACATCTTCTACTGCTGCGGACAATGGAGTGAACAGCATTCCTACAACTCTCCCAAGTCCTCTGCTTCCCATAATATCTGGTCAGTTCAAGGCAAAGTTCCCATTTGGTGGCCTATTGGACTCTATGAAAACATCTGAGACCTCAAAATTGCAGCAGTTGGTGGAGAACATTGATAAAAAGATGACCGACCCCAACCAGTGCATTATTTGTCATCGCGTACTTAGTTGCCAGAGTGCTCTGAAGATGCATTACCGCACACACACAGGTGAGAGGCCTTTTAAGTGCAAAATCTGTGGGCGTGCTTTTACTACCAAGGGCAACTTAAAGACACATTTCGGAGTTCACCGAGCAAAGCCACCTCTTCGAGTACAACATTCTTGCCCCATTTGCCAGAAGAAATTTACAAACGCCGTTGTTTTACAGCAGCACATTCGTATGCATATGGGTGGACAGATTCCAAATACACCTCTGCCAGAGGGCTTCTCAGATAGCATGGACACTGACCTAGCCTGTGATGAAGTGAATGCTGAACTAATGAGCAACTATGCTGATGATGAACTAATGGATGAAAATTCAATGGATGAGGAGGCGGAGTTAAACATTACCACAACTGAGTCTTCAAAGCAACTGTTATGTTATTCTGGTTCATCACCAAACTCTCCTCCTTCAGTGATTTCTAGCATCACTGCACTGGAAAATCAGATGAAGATAATAGACTGTGCTTTGAGCACACAACAGCATTCCAGCATGAAATCTGTTGAAAATGGATCAATGGAAAGTGATCGCTTAACTAATGATTCCTCCTCTGCTGTGGGTGACTTAGAAAGTCAGAGTGCAGGTAGCCCAGCAATGTCTGAGTGTTCTTCTTCAATGCAGGCATTGTCACCTGTACACAGTAATGCTGACAGTCAAAGATCAAAGTCACCAGGATTTGGCAACCAAGAAGAGCCACATGAGACATCAGTGAAATCAGAAAAAGCAGACAGTCCATCAACTCATCGGGAGAATGGAGGTGCACTAGATCTGACAGCCAACAACCTGGGTCGGCCGATCATCAAAGAAGAGGCTTTTAGTATGCTGTTCCCCAACCAAGAATGTGGTAAGTTGAAAAGTACTGTTTGTAGTATCTGTGGCAAATCTTTTGCTTGTAAAAGTGCATTGGAAATTCACTACCGCAGCCATACTAAAGAGCGTCCATTTCTTTGCACAATCTGCAATCGTGGTTGCTCCACTATGGGTAATTTAAAACAGCACTTACTGACGCACAAGATGAAAGAACTTCCTTCTCAGTTATTTGAACCCAACTCCACTCTAGGTCCCACCCAAAGTACTCCTAGCCTGGTCACCAGCACCGCACCAACCGTGGTCAAAATGGAAGTCAATGGTCACAGCAAGCCGATCTCCCTAGGTGATGGTACGCAGGTTCCAGTTGGTATACAGGCTCCATCTGCACCACAGACAGCCATGAGTCCAGGTATGACACCCATTCTGGCACCGCCACCTCGAAGGACACCCAAGCAGCATAACTGTCCATCCTGTGGGAAGACCTTTTCTTCTGCAAGTGCTCTTCAGATCCATGAGCGCACACACACTGGTGAAAAGCCATTTGGCTGCACAATCTGTGGCAGAGCTTTTACAACAAAAGGGAATCTTAAGGTAAGATCATTTTAATGTATAAATTAGTGATAAGAACTTAAAGGCTACGACTCTTTAAACCATGAACCTGCTCAAGTAAACCTGATTCAAAATGTTAGCAACAGCGAATGTAATGCTTTAACGATTAACAAGATGGTCCAATCACATATTGTTTATGTCTGCATTGAGGTTTGACTTTATACAGTGTGCTGAATAGGTCGTATTTACAGACAATGCACACACATACGCATCTGTGATGAACTAACTTTAGTCAGTTACAAGTCAAGAAAACATTTGATATATCGGATAAATAATTTAAAGTGGTAAAATAATAAAGAAATGATGAATGTAACTTAATAATGCATTACATATGTTGTTAAATATTATTTTAAGACTTAAAAAAAAGTATGACCTTGACCACTGAAAGACCTTATCATCTTACAGAATTCAATTTTTTAACCCTACACATTGTACAACAGCCCCCATTTGATTCATTCAAGCCTATCCGGTTTTGTCACTTAATTTGTCACTGGAATGTATCTGACCAGCATATATCTATAGGAAATGTCTCACTAAAAAATCAGTAGGTGCAATGCAGTTACCCCTTTGAAAAGGTCAGTATAGATAAGTCTAGAATTTTGGAAATGCATCATAAACACTGAAAGAACTTTGCCAGTAAGTAGCTGTTCAAGCTAAATATTCCAAATTGTACACATTGATGCAACAAAGCAAGAGATTTCTAGTCAAGTGTACTGTATAAAGCAAATTACAATCCTTGTGTTTTGCAGTTCATTCATTTCCAGATGGGTACCATATACACAAAATATGATAAATGAGTAATTCAAGCTATATATATGTGTTTAACAAGCGTTAGAATGTTCCATAATAGTTATGTGCATTTTTAACTCTAAATCCAGAGCTATGTGATATCTGATAATATTACAATGATTATATAGCTTTGGCTGGAAGCCTGATTAAGTACATAATATACAATTTAAGCTATGTAGTTAATAAGATTGAATGCAAAATGACTTTCATTCTGCACTTTAAACTGTGTTTGCTTAAATCCTATATAATTACACTAAAAATTATGGTTATGGGCTTCAAGAACTGTCAGTCTTAAAAATGCCACATAATAATAAAATGGACAAAATTGATTTTCTTTTCCAATGAAACTTTTAGTTGGTTAAATTTATTATTTTGTTCTAGTGAATTAACTCTAAAACTATGAGATTGAAACTGAATGTGTGCATGCTATTTAGGATTACATTTAACGTTCCTTCCCTTTTCAGATGCAAAAGTCAAAATTCAGCACTCTGTGTCTTGTTAATCCTTCATCAGAAACCACTATCTATTGGAAAGGTAGCAGATATAAGTTTACAGGCGTTAAACCTTGAAAACTCGTCTTAGTTTATTATAGCTGTATATTTCAACATGTCACAAATTTGCACGTATAGCTCATGCACAAATTTTAAACATTGCTATTGAATTGGATGACAAATATATAATTTCTAAGGGGCACTATGTAATGGTTCAACTCACCCAGGCTCCTCCAGCAGGACTTTTCAAACTCATGACCTGTATCACCAGAGGACAAGGTCAGGCGCACATGGGGACGTCACCACCTTCAAGTTCCCTCCAAACCTGACCTGGAAATATATCACTGTTCCTTCACTGTTGCTTTGTCAAAATCCTACACTGAAGGATCACAGTGATTGAAGAAGGCATCTTCTCAAGGGCAATTAGGCGTGAGCAACAAATGCTGGCCTAACCTGCTTCCCCAGTTTTATTATTTTACCATAAGCTGAATTTTACACTCCTCCATCAAGAGTTTTGAAGGTGGGAGTTGGCTTATAAACTTGGTTCATGGCCATTACCTATCCATCCCCTCCACCAATTTGTATATAGTTTTACAGGGGACAGTGGAGGCATCAACAACCCACTATTAAGGCCTAACCCCTAATATCTGCTGCTATTCCACCCATGGTAATGGGAGGCTCATATCACGTAAGAATTCAAATACCTTTCACTACACAAAAACCAAAAGAACTGCGGATGCTGTAAATCAGAAACAAAAACGGAAGATGCTGGAAAAGCTCAGCAGGTCTGGCAGCATCTGTTAGCATTTTGGAACTGAGTTCTGAGGAAGGGTCACTGGACCTGAAACATTAACTCTGATTTCTCTTCACAGATGCTGCCAGACCTGCTGAGCTTTCCCAGCAACTTCTGTGTTGTACCTTTCACTACATGGCTGGTGTAGGGTTGTGTTGTAGGGGACAATCCTCCTCTGCATGTCTCCATTGCCTAAGGGTGGCTTCACTACAAACTGCACCCAGCCCCAGCACTGGATCACATTTTCGCATTTCCTCTCATACCTTATTCCCCCAGGCTCTCAAACCCAACCTTGCACCCCACCCTCATCTCCCTGTCCAGGCAATGACCCCCAACTAAGTAATCAATTCCAACTCCGGTCAACATTCCTTGCTGGCTGGCTGCAGTGACAATCTCTATTAGACACCGCCTGTAGTCCCAGCAGCGGCTACCAGGTGCTCGCAGCATTTGGGACCACGTAGCCATTAATTTACATTGCCACAGGCATTTTATCCTTGGACAGACTCCCCATCTTTCTAGGAATGGGAAGCGATCTTGACACCCTGGAGAATTCAAACCCATGGGTACATTCTGTGTTGGTCAATGTCAGATATGAATAAGTAAGCTGGAACAGTCGATCTGATTTTCCGTGGCCACTTCAGTTTGGTTCATGATGATGAGCTATCCTGAAGCCCTTCTACAATTGGAACAACAACTTGAGATGCAGCATGTAACATATAGCTGATACACGTCCACCCGTTTGGACTATTTCTGAGACCAATTCCAATCCTGACCCCACCACACTTTTATCCCAATTGAGAACGGAGCATAGAGTGGCAACAGGGCTTCCAAATATGAATATTACATAGGAAAATAAAAGCAAGATAATGTGATTTAGCCACTCAAGCTGCTCCGCCATTTTAGTTCACAGCTGATCTCCTGTCTCTCGATTACATATTCCCATGCTATCTCATTTCTCTTGATTTTATTAGAATCTAGAAATCTTATCATAGAGTCATACAGCACGGAAACAGACTCTTTGGTCCAACTTGTCCACGCTGACTAGACATCCCAATCTGACCAAGTCCCATTTGCCAGCATTTGGCCCATATCCCTCTAAACCCTTCCTATTCATATACCCATCCAGATGCTTTTTAAATGTTGCAATGGTATCCACCACTTCCTCTGGCAGCTCATTCCATACGCACACCACCTGCTGCATGAAAAAGGTGCCCCTTTAGATCCCTTTAAATCAGTCCCCTCTCATGTTAAACCTATGCCCTCTAGTTATAAACTCTCCCACCTTAGGAAAAAGACCTTGGCTATTCACCCTACCCACACGCCTCATGATTTTGTAAGCCTCTATAAGGTCATCCCTCAACCTCCAATGCTCCAGGGAAAAAAGCACCAGCCTATTCAGCCTCTCCTTATAACTCAAATCCTCCAGTCCCAGCAACATGCTTGTAAATCTTTTCTGCACCCTCTGAAGTTTAACAACATCTTTTCTGTAGAAGGGCGACCCGAGTTATATGCAGTACTCTAAAAGTGGCCCCTCCAAAGTCCTGTACAGCCGCAACATGATTTCCCAACTCCTATACTCAGTGTTCTGTCCAATGAAGACAAGCATGCCAAACGCCTTCTTCACCACCCTGTCTATCTATGACTCCAGTTTCAAGGAACTATGCACCTGGACTCCTAGGTCTTTTTGTTCAGCAACATTCCCCAGGGCCCCTACTATTAAATGTGTCAGTCCTGCCCTGGTTGGCCTTGTGTGTTGAGATACTCATGGACTGAGTTTCCACAGACCTCTGGAATAGCAAATTCCAACTGTCCACAATTCTTGAGTGAAGAAATTCCTTTTAATTTCAGTCTTAAATGACTTGTGACATCCTGATGCTTTGTCCTATGATTCTAGAACCCCTTGCACACCCCCAATGCCTCTCCGAGCTGTGTCCAAGAGAAGCATCGTCCTGCATCAACTTGTGTGCATTGTCCGCATATTTAATATTTTGGCTTCACAAGATTGGATGCAATTGTGGGCACAATTGTGACTCAGGTCATCAGGTGGGAAAGCCAAAGGATTAGGTGTGGTGTGAATTTTACACCCCACCCAGTATTACTCAATGACTTTGATGGAAATTAAAATTGGACAGTTTTGAGACCATTGTTACATCCAAACTATCAGTTTCCCAACTGGTGGGATAGGATTAAAATTACCACCATTTGGCTGGGTGAAAAATTAGTATTTCACCTGATTGACTGGGTTTCTCAGCTGGAGAGTTAGGCTAAAATTCCCCCAAGTGATAACAGTTCTTGCAAAGCATTGCTTGCTTGTTTATTTGTAGTTGATGACATGCCTGTTCAAAACACTAAGTCAAATTGGGGAGAAGGAGAAGGAGAAGAGAGAAATCAGCAACATAATTTGTCATTATATTAATGTAACTTCCATGCGAATTCATCATGCGAGGCCAATAAAGTCTGTTTCAGTTTTCAAATTTAATATTTATGAATAACATTGGGGATTTCTTTCCTCCAGAAATAACTTCATATTGTTTTTCCTCAGTAGTTTGAGTTGGAATTTTGATTTTCTAATTAGTATTTGGTTCAAAATAAATGACATATACTGGTAACAGATATTATCGAGTGGAAAAAAAATTATATAATATTAGAGATTGCAAACAAATCAAATAGTTGACAGACGCCTTACTGAAGTGTTTAACAGATATAGCAAGAAATTTCAAAAGGTGGAATGTACATTAGTTCATGTACGCATTTTCCTTAACAAACTGTAAACATATTTTGAGGTGCCCATTTGTTATATGTTGAAGTGGGTGATGGTGGGCAACATAGGACGAATTGAATGAAAGATTTCATTCAATCATAGATTTCATGGGCTACTCTTCCTGCTTTGAGCCTGTATTGGAATGCCT